TGTAGCTTGCATTAGTTTTAGGCCATCTCTACCCTCCTAACATGGTGTTACACTAATTCCTGTCTTGTGTGAGGATTCAGGTAATTTCAGTTTTCCCAAGACTCTGATCAATGATAATTGCTGATTGTAATATATATTTATGGCAGGTTTATATCAATGGCTTTACGTTTTATGTCTGAGTATCTGCTTAACATATACATTTGAGACTTTTGAAGATACTTTATACTGTTTTTCAGTCTTTGGGATATAATCTGTTAAGTAGCTTTTGAGATCAGTTTAGTAAGTTTTATTTTTAAAAAATTCAGAGTGCACAAGATTAGTATAGACTAATTTTGTTTCATGAAAATGTGTTATTTGTCTCAGTGAGTATTTCATTCTCTGGGGTATGATGGCAAATGTATCTTACTGTGATTTGTAGTCAAAAATGTTTGAAAACCACTGCTTTATAGGAAATTTGGACTCAGTAATAAGAAAATAAAAATTAAAAAAAAAATTTTTTTTTAAAGATTTTATTTTAAGTAATCTCTACACCCAACATGAGGCTCGAACTCCTGACCCCAAAATCAAGTGTCACACACTTTACCAACTGAGCCAGCCAGGCGCATTTCTTAATCTTTTAGAGTATACAAAGCATTTGAAACATTTACTTGTTTCTTTATTAAAAAGATATTTATTGGGGCGCCTGGGTGGCTCAGTGGGTTAAGCCGCTACCTTCTGCTCAGGTCATGATCTCAGGGTCCTGGGATCGAGCCCCGCATCGGGCTCTCTGCTCAGCGGGGAGCCTGCTTCCTCCTCTCTCTCTCTGCCTGCCTCTCTGCCTGCTTGTGATTTCTCTCTGTCAAATAAATAAAAATTAAAAAAAAGATTATAAAAAAAAAGATATTTATTTATTTGAGCTAGAGAGCAGGAGTTGGGGGAAAGGGTGGAGGGAGAAGCATACTCCCCACTGAGCAGGGAGCCCAGTGAAACTTGATCCCAGGACCCTGGGATCATGACCTGAGCTGAAGGCAGATGCTTAACCAACTGAGCCACCTAGGCGCCCTATTTACTTGTTTCTTAAGCACTTATGCAGAGCTTTGTTTCTGAAGAATTTTGTAATAAATAATCCTAGGGTAGATTTGTTTCATCTGTATTTCAGATGAATTTCCTAGGGTCCAGAAGATGAGTAGCCTGCCTAGGTCTCAACCAAAAGGTCAGAGGCATAATTTAGACTTCTGTTTTAGAGACCTTGGATTTTTTTTTTTTTTAATATAGCTCAGCTTCCTTATTTACTTGTTCAGCTACTTAATGTTAATGCATAATTTGCTGGATGATTTTGAGTGTACTGTAGAAGAAGAATGTAGTTAATCAGATTTCAATTCTCAGGATTTGTTTATTTGGCTAAAAACAGAAGGAGAGTTGTTCTCAGGATGGTCTAGATCATAGAGATTGCTGTTGTCTTAAATCTGCTTTTCTTCTGTTACGAGTTTTTTGTTACCAATTTATAGAACTTTTCAGGGCTTTCTGTGTTCTTAGCTTTGGTTCATTGCCAAGATTTGTATTGCCTGCATTCTTTTTAACCTTTAGGTTGACTAAGGGATAACATATTAACATTTTCTTCTATTATTAGCTATTAACACAATAGCATTGTCAGGGTCAGTGGATTTCTAAAAAATAGAATTTCTGCTAGACCAAGGTTGTTTTCTGTAAGCAGTCTAATGTGCTTTTGGTGGCCATAGGGAACCATGTACACAGTAAAAATTCTGTTGTTGCCAAGAGTAGAGGGAGAAAAGGGTCTGACTAGAACTACTTATTTCATACTTATTAATAATATCTTTTAGACCAATTGCTGGGTGTCTGAGATCATTTTGTTTTGTTGTGAGCTCTTTATCCGGAGACATGATGCCTTATTTATGACTTGTGGAAAGTATGATTTGATGGGCGTACCCTTGGTTGCTGGCTGTTAAATGTCATTATCTTTTTTATTATTTATGGGGCTAAATTAGTAATTTTTCTAATTTGAAAGCAAATAAGGATATAAATTTTGCCTACCAGGTAAAGATACAAAAAAAAAAAAACAAACAACTATTAGTGTTCACGTTAAAGAACTTGGGGTGACCACTCAGTATTGCATTTCTAGTCTCTTATCTTAATAGCATAAGAAAGCCTGGGAAGAAATATCCTTGAGATCCATAATTATTTAAAAATAGCTTCCTTTTGAGTAAGAGCAGAGCCTTTCACTCCACTGTCATTCAAATTGCATTTAAAGGAAGAACACTACATTGGACACTATATTGGTCCCCATACTGGCAATTTTTTATTTTAATTACTCTAAATATACTTTGACATAAAGCTAAGTAGTAATTCTTATCCTTCCTGTGCTGAAGCCCCCAGTAGCTCTTAATCAACTACAAAATCAAAACAAATTTACAAATAATTCAGTAGTAACAGCGGTAGGGTCAGTGGATTTTTAAAAAATTAACATATGTTGAACCAAGATTGTTTTCTTTAAGCAGTCTAATATATCTTTTTAATCCATGAATAACTGACATACAATGTTAAATTAGTTTCAGGTGTACAACATAGTGATTTGACAATTTGATATATTACCACAATTTGAGACACTACTTAGTGCCCACCAAGATAAGGGTAGTTACCATCTGCCACCGTACAAATTTATTACAATATTAGCAGTCTGATGTTTTGATGGCTCTAGGGAACCATGTAGGTAGTAGAATTTAGGTTATCAGGACTATATCAGTTGTTGCCATGGATTTATATCTTTATGAATAAGTATACAGTTGTAAACCGCACCCTAAAACAAAATTCAAAATAACATTCATATTATGTGGTAGAGATGTCAGTCTACTGAAATGCAGTACTTAATGTAGAACTTAATAGTGGAAAGATTTAGCCTTGGGTTCAATAATATATTTCCTGTTTCTACATTTTAACTTGAGTAATACTATGCAGAGAATATCATACAAGGTATGCATTTAAAGTGTCAAGACATTGTAGCAGTGTGTGATAATGGGACCTCACATGTAACCAAAACTGACTAAAGTCCTTGAATGCCAATTTTAATGAGGTATTGTTAGAGAACAGCAGAGTTAGAGTTGCCTTGTTCAAATGAAGATGAGATTTGTGTTGTGAATGAGAACATACAGAATAGGAGAAAGTTTGTGCAAGTTGTATATCTGATAAGGGGCTTGTATCGAGAATATAAGAAGACTCTTGCAAATAAGTAATAAAAAGACAACTCAGTTTAAAAAGTGGGCCAGTGATCTGAATAAGTATTTCTTCTGAAAAGACATGTAAATGGTCTATAAGCACATGAAGAGATGGTCAACATCATTAGTCACCAGGTAATGCAAGTCAGAACCACAGTGAGTTACCATTCACACCTGTTGGGAGGGCTGTAATAATGTGTTGATGAGGATGGAGAGAAATCCACTGCGCGTGGGATTATGAAATGGTGCAGACACTTTGGAAAATAGCCTGGTAATTCTTCAAGAGGTTAAACATAGACTTATCATATGACCTAGCAATTCCACATCTAGGTGTATATCCAAAAGAGTAAGAACATACGTCTACTCAAAAACTTGTACATAAATGTACATAGCAGCATTATTCATAATAGCCAAATTGTAGAAATAATCCAATGTCCATTAAGTGATACATGGATAAATAAAATGTATATCCATACAATAGAATATTGCTGGTAATAAAAAGAAATTATGTACTGATTCATGCTACAAGAGGGATGAACCTTGGGGGCATCATGCTAAGCGATAGCAGCAAGCCACAAAAGATCACATGTATAATTCCATTTATGTGAACCGTTTAAAATAGGCAAATCCATAGAGACAGGAATTAGTGGTTTAGTGGTTGCCTAGGCCTGGTCGGGGAGGGTTTGGGAGGAAATGGGGAGTGCTTTCTGATAGGTACAGGGTTTCTTTTTTGGTGTGATGAAATTGTTGTAAAATTGATTGTGGTTGTGGTTGCAAATTCACAACTGTGAATATATTAAAAATAATTTAACTGTACTCTTTAAATGAGTAGATTGTATGGCATATGAATTGTATCTCAGTGAAGTTGTTACTTAAAAATTTGCATTGCGGTTTTTGAAACCTGTGAAATGATAATGGGAATTGAGAATAGAAACAAAGTTAATTGCGTATTTGCCATCACACTTCCAGCTAATATACATGGTGAGTTGCTGTGTTAAAGATGAGGGTTACACAGCTTGATAAGGTACTGAGTGCCCCAGTGTCTTGAGGTCAGCCTGCCTATGCTTCTCTGTCCTACTAGTGTCTCTTTAGTTCATATAGTGCACATACAAACCACAAACGTGGGCAGCAGATTTGGGCAGAACTCAGTTATAATATGGATACCCATTTGTTTCAGAAAATGCTCATGTTAACTTTTTGAAAAATTACTGCTGAAATGACACTAAAATAAAAAGATACCATAGATAACCATGGACCCTTGAGAAGTGGTGGTCTAGAGGTGGCAGCTCTCTTCTTTAAGTCGTTATTACAGCTTTGCAAAAGTATCTCAGAACCAGTATATGATTTTTCCCTTGTTTGGTGCACATATTCATAATATTCGTAAACTTCATTTTTTTTTTCATTAGGTGAGGATAATGGAAACGCAGCCAGCGTCATTGATTTCTAAGAAGCCTAACGAATATAAAGGGCAGCAAATTGTTGTCTAGTTTCTTAGAGATTTTACAATCTTGAAACCCAAGAGTTTGAGGAACCTTAAGAAAAACCTGAACAAATATTTGGTTATTTCTTGGCTTCTTGAGATGAACTGGAATTGGGGAGAAGTAATTCTTTTTTTTTTTTTTTTTTTTTAATTTTTTTCACAGAGAGAGATTACAAATAGGCAGAGAGGCAGGCAGAGAGAGAGAGGAGGAAGCAGGCTCCCTGCCCAGCAGAGAGCCCGATGCGGGACTCGATCCCAGGATCCTGAGACCATGACCTGAGCCGAAGGCAGAGGCTTTAACCCACTGAGCCACCCAGGCGCCCAGGAGAAGTAATTCTTAAACCCTGGTGTTTCAAGGTCAGATGTAGATAGATGTAAGTAGATAGATGTAATCGCTATTTATGCCAGCTGCTCTGTGGGTGGGAGTTCAGATTCTGCAGCTTAATAACTTGAGCACTGAGCCTTGGTTCCTTCCTCTGTGAAAAAGAGGGATGAATAAACAGCATTGAACTAGTATGTGTAGGGTTGGAATAAGAAAAACATATGAGAAAGGAAAAGTCAGAGATTTATGATACTTGATTTTATGTGGGAAACAAAGGACACTTTCATTAACGTCTTGTGAATTGTTATTTTTTTTTAATGATGAAAATGAGGATTTCTGGAAGCCAGCAAGGGGGAGAGGAAGGAACCAACAGAACAATAAACATTTATTCAGGAACTTCTTAAATGCCTTTTTTGTAGAGTAAACCTACCTTAATCTAACTTTCCAGTCAACTTTGGTATTAATTGAAAACTCCCATCCTGGGTGCATTTTACACTGCACAATTATTTTGTGTATGGTAGTGGTCCCAATTTTAGCAACAATTGTACAAAAGATAGTGAACTCTTTTGTCAAAAGTCTGAAAAAAAATAAAGTGATAAGAAGGTAAGAATTTTAATTATGGGGTGAAAATAGCTACAGCAGGGGTCCCAAGGGTCCTACTTTTGGGAAACACATTCAGATTTTGACTCTGTAACCACTTTTAGAAAGATGAGGAACTTGAGAAAAGAAAAATAAGTCATACCAGCCTGCCACCTAATATAGCTACTATTATAGTTGTATTAATTTCCTTTTATTTTTTCCTGTTCATATCTTAACTAGTTTTAATAATAACAAGTACATAATTTTGTATTTTGTTTTTGTAATTTAACATGTCATTTGCACTTCTTGTGGTTGCGTTATTTTAATAACCATATTTTTAAGTGACAGTGCTATAATCTAATTAACCATTCCCTAAGTGTTGGGTATATATGTGTATTTATATCTTGCTTGCAGTTGTTTATTATTATAGATGCTAACATGAAATTCTTTAGGCATATACTTTTTCTACTTTTAAGACCTTTTCTTAAAATAGGTTAGTAGAAGTAGAAATTCCACAAAGTACAACTTTTGAATTCTTTATTTGCTTGCTTGTCGTGATTTTCAGATATGTAGACTTACCTTTGTTTATTTAGCTACATTTTTCTACTCCTCTAATTCTCTCTCTCTCTCTCTCTCATCCTTTTTTAGGCTGAATTGACTACCCACCCAGCACAGCATCTTACAGGAAAAGAATAGCATTTCCTAGAGGAATATGAGCGTAACAGGAAGGTGTCATTGACTGAATTAAATTTTTAACCTGTCCCCTGAACATCTACAGGATTTGGAAGCTGAATCAATGTTATCAGATGAGTTAGAATCCAAACCAGAGGTGAGCCCAGGCAGTGCTATTTATCTATCTATTTGTATTTTTTTGTGGGCTATCTTCCAAGGTTTGTCCTTAAGTCAGGAAGTCAGTAAACTTCTGTAATGAGCCAGATAGTAAATATTTTAGGTTTTGTGGGCCATATGGTTTTGGTCATTAACTACTAGTTTATTATTTTTTTCTATCACTAAGTACTTTCTCAAAGATTTAAAAACTCCTTTTACCTATCGCTTTTTATGTTTCTTTAAGTAAGTATAAGTTATTATACATCTAGGTAATTATGTAATGACAGAAATTTTATATAACATGTGGATGTATATATACATATATATATATATATATATATTTACTACCACAACCATTTTTCAATTAATTTTATATATATCTGAAAGTGTTTTCTTTATAAATATAATTAGAGGATTTAAACAGTATTTATTATTTATTTTATTTATTTTTTTAAGTGGGCTCCATGCTAGGTGTGGAGCCCATCACAGGGCTTGAACTCATAACCCTGAGATCAAGACCTGAGCTGAGATCAAAAGTTAGACATTTAACTGGATGAGCCCCCTGGGCGCCCCTAAACATTTTTTTATTTTTATTCATTTCTCTTGCTTTAATTTTAGTATATCTGTGTCACATAGTGGAAAGGTCAGTGAATTTGGAATCAGATGATATAAGTTTGAAGACTTACTTCCCCTATTAGTCACGTGACCTTAGATAAGTAGTTTGATGTCTTCAACTTGATTCCTTGTCTTTATTTACTTATTTATTTATTTTTAATTCTTTATCTTTAAAATACATGTTCAATCTTACTGGGTTATGATGAGGATTAAATGAGCCACTATAATATAGCTTTTCTTTAGAACAGAGCACTTGATAAAAATAACTTCAAGTGTTATTTTGTAGTTAATGTAGTTTTTCTCTGAATGTGCTTGAAACTAGTAAGCAATAAAGATTTAATTACGCTGTGAACTTGTTGTAAATTCAGAGGTTTAGATTAATTCATAACAACTTGTATTTTTCAATATTGTCTCTTCCTCCCCCACTCCCCAGCTCCTGGTACAGTTTGTTCAGAATACGTCCATCCCATTGGGACAGGGGCTAGTAGAATCAGAAGCTAAAGACATTACTTGCTTGTCCCTCCTTCCAGTGACTGAGGCCCCAGAATGCAGTCGGCTAATGTTACCAGGTAAAAATGAAGCGTACAAGAAATAAGCAATTTTTAAGAGCTTAGCCTGCTCTATCATACTGGTGGGATGGGATAAATGACTTTATAACTGACTGGTAGAAACTGTAAAAACTAGGAATTATGGAGAATAAGCAACCACGGGAGTTACTTAATTACCAATTACTTAATTGGTAATTTAAGCCACAGTAATGGATAGGATCATTCGTAGAATGTGAGAGTGAGAAGAAAAGATCAATGTGGAGCTCCCTATTCAGGGTACAGGGTAAAGCAGGAGAGCCTATGAAGGAGGGAAAAAGGAAAGGCTAGAGTAGTGAGAGAAATATTCCTACAGAATGCGGGCATAGAACTCAGGAGAATAGGCAGTGTGTCAGATGCTTCTAAGAGGCCCGTGGGATAGGGACTGTCCCAGTGAGAAAGGGCCAACAAAGCCATTGTTGACCATGGCAGGACCTGTTCCATGGAAAGGGAATGGAAAGCCAGGGTGTAGAGGGTTGAGGCGTCAGTGCAAGGTAAGGGTAGTTGAGGAAGTAACTACACTTTCTCAAGGCTCTCCTGCTATGGGAAGGAAAAAGAGAAGGACATAAGGTAGATGGCAGAATTCTTTTTTTAAGATCTGAAATATTTGAGGATGGTTTTATGCTAAGAGGAAAGAGCCAATTAGAGAAGCTGTAAACAGAAAGAGAGGCTAATTAGTGGGGAGGCTCCAGGAGAGGTAGGAGGAACTAGAATGCTGATCATGAGTTGTGAGATTAACTTTGGATGGGGAGAAGGAGATCCTATCCCTTGACTGTTACCAAGGAGAACATTATTTTTGGGTGCAGTGAATTCTTTATTTTCTGGAAATTGGAATATTTAAAATTTGGAATATTGATGTTAAATCGGGGGAGGGTCACCACCTATTGGTGATTGGCGACAGCTTATAATAACGTCTTCTGGGTACTGTCCTCTATTGGAGGTGATTTTGAAGTGACTTTAAAATGTTTTTCAATGTTTAAAGATTCAAGAAGGCAGATGCATGCAACCAACCAGTGTTGACTTAAGGCTTCCCTGTCTAGTTCCTAGCTTTCACATATCTTCTGTCATTCAACTCCTGTTTTTCTACTGGTATGTTGGAGTTTTTCCAGATCCTTATGGATTTTCAGTATGTGTACATTTCCATGTGTTAATAAATTTTGATCTTCATTGGGCTTAAAATTTTCTCTCCCGATTTTAATTTGTTAAATAAATATTTTAACAATATTGAAGTAAAAAGAACAAAATCATTAATCTTCTTTTCTACATTAACTTCAGTTGTAATTTTTTTTTTTTAAAGATTTTATTTATTTATTTGACAAAGAGAGATCACAAGTAGACAGAGAGGCAGGCAGAGAGAGAGAGAGAGGGAAGCAGGCTCCCTGCTGAGCAGAGAGCCCAACGCGGGACTCGATCCCAGGACCCTGAGATCATGACCCGAGCCGAAGGCAGCGGCTTAACCCACTGAGCCACCCAGGCACCCCACTTCAGTTGTAATTTTAAAAAGATTATTTATTTGTTTGACAGAGAGACAGCTAGAGAGGGAACACAAGTGGGGGTGGGGGGAGTAGGAGAGGCTGAGCAGGGAGCCGCATGCAGGGCTCAATCCCAGAGTCCTGAGATCATGACCAGCAGCCACCCAATGACTGAGCTATGCAGGCGCCCCTTTAGTTTTAATTTTGATTAAAAATATTTTATTTTAGGGGCGCTTGGGTGGCTCAGAGGGTTAAGCCTCTGTCTTCGCCTCAGGTCATGATCTCAGGGTCCTGAGATTGAGCCCTCATCGGGCTCTCTGCTCAGCAGGGCGCCAGCACCCCCCATTGTCCCCCCAATTGCCTCTCTGCCTACTTGTGATCTCTGTCAAATAAATAAATAAAATCTTTTAAAAATATGTTTTATTTTATTTTTAAAAAGTTTTTATTTATATATTTATTCATTTAAGTAATCTCTACGCCCAGTGTTGGGCTCACACTCACAACCCCAAGATCAAGAGTCTTGTGCTCTTCTGACCGAGCCAGCCAGGTACCCTGATTAAAAATATTTTATTTTAGGGACGCCTGGGTGGCTCAGTTGGTTAAGCAGCTGCCTTCGGCTCAGGTCATGATCCCAGCGTCCTGGGATCGAGTCCCACATCGGGCTCCTTGCTCATCATGGAGCCTGCTTCTCCCTCTGCCTCTGCCTGCCATTCTGTCTGCCTGTGCTTGCTCTCTCTCCTTCTCTCTCTCTCTGACAAATAAATAAATAAAATCTTTAAAAAAAATATTTTATTTTATCTTATTTTATTTCTTTTAAAGATTTTATTTATTTATTTATTTGAGAGAGAGAGCATGAGCACGAGCGGGGTGAACGGCAAAGGGACAAGAAGACTCCCCATTGAGCAGGGAGCCTGATGTGGGCTTGATCCTGGGTCTTTGGGACTGTGGCCGAAGGCAGACGCCCAACTGACTTAGCCACCCAAGCATCCCTGAAAATATTCTAGATATCCAATTATCAATAATAATAAATGAAATTATTTTACCAATAATAATAAATGAAATTCACATCCCAGCTCATGAAACATAATATTACAAACAAATGTATCTGCACATCTTTCTAACTTTATTCCTCTCCATCTTAAATATGTGTGTATCATTCCATGCATGGCGGGTATGTTTCCTTTTTAGTTGGTATTTGTGATAGATATAGAAAAGTATAAGATCCTGTACTTATACATTTCAAAGAGTTATTATAAAGGAGATCCCATCACCCCATCAAGAAATAGAACCTTGCCAGCAGCTAAGCCCCCATGGGGTCCCTCCCTGATAAAGACAACCTCTTCACAGGTCACCACTACCTTCAATTCTCTGACCAATATTTGTTCCCTAAATTTCATCACAGAGATCTAAGCAATGCAATTTAAACTTAAGTGTTTTTAGACCTTGGAATCATATGAATGTATGTTGCTGTACCTTTCTTCTGTTACTGTATAGTTGTGAGATTCATCCTTGTGTGTGTGGCTGTGCTTTGTTTGGTTTCATTGCTGTGTAGTGTTCTGTTACATGTCTGTAACCACAGCTTCTTTGTCCGTGACACTGTTGATGAATATTTAGTTATATTCATCATAGTAAAAACTATGATTTTTTTACTACTGCTATGAACTACTTTAAAAAAATTTTTTGTATATGATAATATAAACATAACTAAGGATTTGCCATTTAAACCAGTTAGCCATTTTAATAAATGTACTCTTTAACCAGTTCTGTGACATTAAGGACATTCATATTGTACTATTGCATTAGACTTTGTAATGGCAGTACTATCCCTAGGCATCTACTTTCATTCCTATAATCTTATCTGTCATCTTACTTAAAAAAAAGGAAAACAAATTATCTGCCTTTTATAAAGATGACTGAAACCCCTGCAAACATTGGATATGTTAGCTCTGCAGTTCAAGTCCTCATTTTACTGCAACCAAAATCTTTGGAAATTCATTCCTCCAGGGACACGTGGGTGGCTCAGTGGGTTAAGGCCTCTGCCTTCGGCTCAGGTCATGATCTCAGGGTCCTGGTATCGAGCCCCGCATCGGGCTCTCCACTCAGCAGGGAGCCTGCTTCCTCCTCTCTCTCTGCCTGCCTCTCTGTCTACTTGTGATCTTTGTCTGTCAAATGAATAAATAAAATCTTAAAAAAAAATTCATTCCTCCCTTTAGAATAAAGTTCTAGAGAGCAAGTCTTCCAAATTATTTCTTTACATTTCATTGTAAACTCGTAAGTATAATGAAACATTTATGATTCTGTAAAATTTCAGTGATTTCTCAGGTTGTGGTTTTTTTCCCCTAGTGACTCAATAGAACTGTCACATACATGCTATAAAAATTAAAGGGAGGGAATCTTTTCCCAAGACAAATAATTTAAAATTTAGAATCCTATTCTTGAGTTAATATTTGTTGTATAAATATATTTTTCGAGGGAAAAGTACTGATTTCTGGCCTTGAAAGGACAAAGGCCAATAATGTCCAAATGTGGATGGTTGGTTGGTTGTTACTGCCAAGTGTCAAATGAATCTGTCCCTCATATTTTGGCTGACTCCCTTTAAAACTTAAAGTTATTGGGGCGCCTGGGTGGCTCAGTGGGTTAAAGCCTCTGCCTTCAGCTCAGGTCATGATCCCAGGGTCCTAGGATCGAGCCCCGCATCGGGCTCTCTGCTCAGCGGGGAGCCTGCTTCCTCCTCTCTCTCTGCCTGTCTCTCTACCTACTTGTGATCTCTATCTGTCAAATGAATAAATAAAAAAATCTTTAAAAAAAAAAAAAAAACAAACTTAAAGTTATCACTCTGTTTTCTTCTGAGGGAAATTTTGTATTTGTAAAATAAAAATGCTGCTGCTCCTAAGGGTGCTGTGTATCAGAATGGTGAGCTCTGGATATAGGTGCTACATAAAGCTGTGATATTTTTCCCTTTGCTAGATGATACTCCAAGTCATACAAACTCCTCCAAGGAGGTCCCTTCCTCAGCTGTGTTGAGAAGCCTTCAGGTGAATGTGGGCCCAGACGGAGAGGAGACGAGGGCTCAGACTGTACAGAAGTCCCCGGAGTTTTTGTCCACTCCAGAGTCTCCTGGCTTGTTGCAAGATCTCCAGCCGAGCGATAGCACTTCTTTTATTCTTCTTAACCTAACAAGAGCAGGTACTCTATCCTTTTCTGAACTCTGCTCATGCTTGAGGACAAAAATTGGGGGTGGGGCATATCTAACTCAGTCATACCTAAAATGGAAAGAAGCCTTATTATTTTATAATTTTAGGGAATTGGTATAGTCTGGTGATAAGTTGAATGTGTAGAGGGAGAAGGCAGACTTTAGGATGACTCAGAAGTTTCTCGTTTGGGAAATTAGATTGTGCCATTCAGCAAGATAGCCCAAGAACAGGGTTGGGGGGAGGATGATTATTAGTTCCAGTTTCTGCTTGTTGATACTGGGATTTCAGAGGGACATTCATGAGGAGGTGTCCTTTAGACAGTTAGAAACAGAGTTCTAGAAATGTCTTGTGGGAAATAAGTTGTTTTGGTGCTTATCAGCATTCAGGAAATGTATGAAACAGTGAGCATGGATTCTTTGATTCAGAAGCATAAACAGAAAAGAAGGCAAATCTGGGAACATGGAAAAAACATTTAAGAGAGTAGCAGAAGAGTGGGGAGGAACTGCTAGAGAGGGATAAGGAAAACAGAAGGAGAGTGAAATGGGAGAAGCCAAGAGAGGGAAAATGTCTAAAAGAAGAAGAAGGTCGTAAGTCATGCCACATACCACAGGAGAGGCTAGTGAGGGGAGGACTGGGAAGTTTATGTCTGGTGACCTGAGCAAGAGCAGTTGTTACTGAGGTGGTAGAGGTCAAGGCCAGGGTTCTAACCGTGACAGATGATAAAGTGGATACAAAAGTTGGGAGCTACACTTGGCAGGAAACTTGACTGTGAGTAAATAGCTAGAGAAGTACTTGGGATTTTCTCTTCTTTTTAAAAATGAAGATGGGCGAGACATTTAAAGGCTCTGAGGGGAGGTTGTGAGGTGGCCAGTAGAGAGGAATGGCTAGCAGATGGCCGAGAGAAGATAACCGATAGGGTCAGGATCCTAGCTTGCTTGCCCTGGGGGGACAGCTTTGCCTCTGAAACCAGAGGAGGTAAGAAAGATAAGCCTGTCTGGGAGTGGAAAGTGAGAACCTCATGTAGTAGGAGAACAGAAGCTTGAGGTGAGAGGTGAAAATCTACAAGAGCGGATTCAGCTATTCCAGATACGAAGTATCTGAGCCAGGGCCGGTAAAAGGGTAACTTGGTGGGTAACTTTCACCTATCCCCTTGTTTCTTCCAGGTCTGGGCTCTTCAGCTGAGCACTTAGTATTTGTACAAGATGAGGCAGAGGATTCAGGGAATGATTTCCTCTCCGGTGAGAGCGCAGACAGTAGCATTCCATGGTTCCTCCGGGTTCAGGAGTTGGCTCATGATAGTTTGATTGCGGCTACTCGCGCGCAGCTGGCAAAGAATGCAAAAACCAGCAGCAACGGTGAGACCCTGTGATGTTTGTCATTTCCAGTATTCTGCATGGGGATTTTGTAATGCAATGACTGTAATCAAAGTTATTTTATTGGTGAGAGCAGACAGCTAGAAATGTGTACATTGGCTTATTTTCTATAAAATAACTTCGCTCTGGCAGATTCACATGCAAAATCAACACCACTAGCATTCCCAGTCGTCAGCTTTCAATTATGTACAGAGCCCCTTTAAAGGGAAAACATTTTCACGGATCAAGATGTTACCTTGAGTTGTTTTTATTGTACTGTTCCCTATGCTTGGAGCTTTTATACCATTATAAAATCAAAACAGTATTACCAATTAATAGAAATAAAACTACAAAACCAGTGAAAATAAAGTTAATATTTTATTTTGGCAGACGATGGTATTTTGCTGAAACTGAATTGCTACTCATAGCAATTTAGCAATTTCAGTAGCTACCACTGCTTTTTTTTTTTTTGGAACCCTTTCATCATATGACCTTAAATATCCAAACAGTCTGTAGTGCTGTTTCTTTTGAGTTCAGCATGCCTGTACTAACTCTTTCCCACTTTTCTCTGTCCAGTAGTTTTCAGGTGTAGTTATTGGGTCATCAGCATCATCTGGGAACTTAGAAATACAAATTCTCAGGCCTCATCCTACTGAGTCAGAAACATGCCCTCTTTTAGTAAGCCCTCTCAGTGGTTCCAATACATGTTCAAGCTTTAGGACCACAACTCTATTTAAACCACCCCTAAAGCATTGCACAACCTTTGCTTATGTAACATGCCATAATACTTTTTGTTTTAGAGCTGCTTCTATATTTTCTCTTTAATCTGTGACAGTTAAGGTACTACAACAAGTTATTAAGGTAAGATACACATTATCATTATCACAAACCAAGCTTAAAGTACTGAAATTTTATGTTGGTACATGACTGTTTGCAGCACATGTGGATGATCTAGAACGTGCTTATGACTATTCTGTGATTACGATACAAGTGAAAATAAAAAATTAGAAACTTTCTCAAGGATCCCTGAGAATATTTCAGAATATTCCAGTTTTAGAAACATTAACCTAAATCTTTTCTACATGGGGAACTCCAGACTTCTTTTTTTTAAAGTTTTAATTTAAATTGCAGTTAGTTAACATACAGCTGAATGTTAGTTTTAGGTATACAATATAGTGGTTCAACACTGGGTGCCCATCACAGGTGCACTCCTTAATCCCCATCACCTGTTTCACCCATCCCCCCCACCCATCCCTCCTCTAGTGACCATCAGTTGTTTTATATTGGTAAGAGTCTATATCTTCATTTGCCTCTCTGTTTTTTCCCCCCTTTGCTCTTTTGTTTCTTAAATTTCACCTGTGAGTGAGATCATATGGTATTTGTCCTTCTCTAACTGACTTATTTCACTTAGCATAATAGTTTCTAGCTCCATCTATGTCACTGCAAAGAGAACTTCAGACTTTTCTTAGTTTCAGAATAATTAGTTCTGCTTTGACAACCATAGTGCTCCTTAGAATGGTCAGATTTACCATTTTGGGGAGGCTGTAAAGTTCAGATTCTTCCTGAGATGCTTTTGCTAATCTCTGGATCCTGAAACCGTCTACATCTCCACTTTGCATTAAGGAAGTAGCACTGCATGTGCCAGAAGAAGCTGTGCAGGGAGGGAACTTAGGGCTTGGTGTCTTGAGACCTGGGATCCAGACCTGGTGCTGTCATGAACCAGTCCTCTGCCTAGGAGATTTAACCTTCTTAGCCACAGTATTCTTGTGTTCAGAACACAGAGACTGAGTAGTTTACCTGATGGGGTTGTTTTGGAGATTTAAATGAGAGTGTCTCTAGGAGAGCTTATAACCAGCAAAGCATTGTGTGGGTGTTTTTATTACTCTCAAAATATGTTACCTTACTACCTAAACAACTACCTTGTATACTTGAATATAAAATGAGCCCAAATATATGAGAGTCTTCTATTTTGTCAATGAAATGATTCCATAAAACCTTTTCAGGGGGCTAACTTAGATATATAAACTGTTAGGCATCTAGATAAAAGTAAACACTGTAAGTTGTTTTTGAAAGTTTTATTATTTTGATTCCACACACTTTTAAATCATGAAATACTCTAATATTGCTTTTTGCCCACTAACATAATGATTTTATCCAGTATTTAAATGCATCTTTTTTTTTTTTTTAAAGATTTTATTTATTTGACAGAGAGAGAGCGATCACAAGCAGGCAGAGAGGCAGGCAGAGAGAGAGAGAGGGAAGCAGGCTCCCTGCTGAGCAGAGAGCCTGATGCAGGGCTCAATCCCAGGACCCTGAGATCATGACCTGAGCCAAAGGCAGAGGCTTTAACCCACTGAGCCACCCAGGCGCCCCATTAAATGCATCTTTAACATAAATATCTTTGTTGTTACTAAAGCCATTTTGTGAGTCTTGCAGCAGTTTCTCAGAGCACATCTTCACCTCTAAGTTGACTGAAATACGGATATATTTAAATTTTGTATATGATGCTTTATATAAGGGGTTAGCAAAGGGCCAAATAACCACCTGTTTTGTAAATAAAGTTTGGTTGGAATACAGGCATATCCATTCATTACAAATTGGCTGCTCCAGTGGCAAAGTTGAGTAGTTGTGACAGAGACCATATGGTCCTTTAAGCCAAAAATACTTAGTATTTGGCCCTTTACAGAGTAAGTTACTGACCCATACTATATATGATACTCTTGCTGGAAATTTTATCCTGAATGCAAAGACCTCACATAACTGTGGGATCTTTAAAGTGTTTACAGTGTTATACAACATGCACCATATAAAATGTTGAATTTCTTTGTCTTTCTCTTTTTGGGGGGAACCAGTTTGTCAGATCTCTAAATATCCAAAACTATCGTTGCTTGATGTCATTTTAAGCTAATCTGTCTTCGGCAAACAGTGCTCTGTGTTTTTTTAAGGAGTAGTTTCATAAGGACTCAAATACAAAGCAATTCACTATTTTCTGAGCGGTTTTTAAATTTCATGATTATATCAGTGTTCTCATTGTATCTACAACATTGAATACACAAAGTCCCAAATGTCAGCTGTTTAAATTTCTATATTAATTTCTACTGATCTTTCATTAGAAATTAATTAGCTGGAGCTCTGGAGTTGGTGGGAAATTTCCTTTATGGTATATATAGTTCTGTACTGTTTAAAATTCACCTATGTGCAGCTGATTTTCAATTAAATAAAAACTGTGGGGGCGCCTGGGTGGCTCAGTGGGTGGAAGCCTCTGCCTTCGGCTCAGGTCATGATCCCAGGGTCCTGGGATCGAGCCCCGCGTCGGGCTCTCTGCTCCGCAGGGAGCCTGCTTCCTCCTCTCTCTCTCTCTCTGCCTACTTGTGATGTCTGTCTGTCAAATAAATAAATAAAATCTTTAAAAAAAAACAAAACAAAACTGTGTGGGACGATATTAAAAAAGAAAAAAAAATTAAAAGTAACAAAAGGCATCTTAGATTCTACTCTGACCTTGGAGCATTTAGTTTTATGATTAGCACTTGGTGACATGTACAGCAAGGAACATGTAGGACAAGAAGAGAATTAAGATTAATATTCGAGATGGAAACCTTGATCAGCTGTCAGGTTCCAGGAAATATGATGGGTAGCACATTTATTGTTCCTGTTCTTGGCTTTTGAGAGGGAAATTTGGAAATACAAATCTTATTCCTGAGGTATATGTCTTAGAAAGATAAACTCCATTTGCTTGTAGCAAAATTAAGTAATCATAAATATTTTTCTCTGTTGATGTCCAACTATATCTTTAAGAAAATTAAAGAAAAGTCGTATTACCTGCGAATCTGGGATTTTTATATAAAGCTTTAATTAACTGATTTTACTTAAATTTAAGGGAGGCACATGCTCTTCTTCCTTTTGTTCTGTTGAACAAAAAACTTCAGTTGATGTTGTTTCTAGCTTTTTAAAATGTGGTTAGAAATTATAAAATCAGGTGAGCTTTTGCATTTTTAAAGAGAAATGGCACAGGAAATTGGAGGGTTGTTCTTATTCTCTAAAATGGTAGAAATAGCCAGACTGACCTCAGAAGATAGAAATCTAAGAATGATCATTTAGCAGAGAAGTCACAACCATAAGCTCAGAACTAAGCCAGAATGGCTGCCTCTTCTAGAATAAATATAAGTTTACTAATACCTAGAACAAGAAGCCATCTTTAGCATCCCTCTCCGGGTGTTGACATATATGCTTCCCTGCCAATATCTGTAATGCAGGATAGGTTTAACTCTTCTTTTTTACGTGAAACCATTGTGGACATTTCTTACATTGGCCAGAGAGGCCTGGTCTTGTGAAACATGATGGCTTTTGATAATTGTCTGGCGTAAGGGGATGGGAACAAATTGTGCGCTCACTTCTGTTGTTAAGTGGATATAAATAGAGCGAGGGAAGCTGAAGAGAGTTCTCTGCTTACTGATCAGTAGGAGTAAAATATAGGAGCTTTATTGTTTGAATCGAAGTACCTCAGCAGCTTCCTTTCCTGGATTACAAATATGTGACTCTGTTACAGGAGAAAATGTCCACCTCAGTTCTGGTGATGGGCAGTCCAAAGATTCTGGGCCCCTTCCTCAAGTGGAAAAGAAGCTCAAATGTACAGTTGAAGGCTGTGACCGGACATTTGTGTGGCCCGCTCACTTCAAGTACCATCTCAAAACGCATCGGTGAGCATATCTGAGGTGCCATACTTGGAGCTCAAGAATGTTGATGCTTCTGGAAGAGCTTGTCCCCAAGTGGACAGATAGGAAAGCCAGGGCTCCAGTTCACTCGTGATTAAGATGTCTTTTGTTTTTTTTAATAGAAAGGTTTGCATTGTCTCATTTACCTCATTTTTCATAAATATTTAATAAGACATTTGGCACCTAAGCATCTTAGAACAAGAGTTCTGGAATCTCATTATAAAACATAATTTCTTGGAAAACTTAAAATATATAAGCATGGGTGTCACTCATAAACCTGTGAAATCAGTATTCAAGAAGGTGTGGGGCACCTGGCTGGCTCAGTTGGTAGAGCATGCAACTCTTGATCTTGGGGTCGTGAGTTCAAGCCTCACGTTGGGCATAGAGATTATTATTATTATTTTTTTTTCATAGAGATTACTTTAATAAAAGAGGGTGGGGAGTAAGGCCTGGGACATCTGTGGTTTTAATAAGCTTCAGATGATTCTGGTATATCCTGCTTTGGGATTTACTGTCTGCTTTAAAAGGCAATACGAGATTTAATTTGTCCTTTCTAGAAAAGAGCATTTTCAGGTATTGTTGCTTATATGATTTTTTTTCCCCCCCAGAAATGACCGCTCTTTCATCTGTCCTGCAGAAGGTTGTGGGAAAAGCTTCTATGTGCTGCAGAGACTGAAGGTGCACATGAGGACCCATAATGGGGAGAAGCCCTTTGTGTGCCCCGAGTCTAGCTGTGGTAAGCAGTTCACTACAGCTGGAAATCTGAAGAACCACTTGCGCATCCATACAGGTGTGTGCAACCCCGCCTTCCTGTAGACGGTCTGCCCCTGGGCTTGGGGTTTGTGTGCCTGTCCTCAGGAAAGGCTTGGAGCTGGGAATAGAAGTGAAGGTTTAGGTTTGTTGCTAGAACTCTGAAAATGGAGTTTCTTTTTTTCACATGCTTCGTGGCACTTTTCAGTTAATTCGGTAACCTTTGTTAACCTTTCACCTGCGTGTGAGGAATGGACAGTGTTGATTCCTGCCTGTAGGAGCCTAAAGTGTAGGAAGGGATGAAAGACCTTCTCTGATAACAATGATATGGTGAGATATGAACAGAATCAGTATTTTCAAATATCTTCGACAATTACATGGTTGTAATTTTGATCAGTAATATTTATTGCATCGCACAAACCGTACAGAGCCTCTTCTAGCCACTAAGTGGGGTAAGGTGAAGGAGGAAGTACAAAAGCTGAGACACATCCCTGACTTTGAGGAGCTTGCTTTTTTGATGGAGCCTCAAAACATGAGAAGCAGAATGGGAAAGTGACTTGACAGGGTCAAATAGCATGTTAATATCAAAGGAACCAAATAAAGACACCCTGACTCTCATTCTAAGAGTTTAAGGGTGACTTACCAAGCCACTTGGCCTAAAATGTACCAAGTTTCTTATCAGAGCTTAATCACTGAACCAAAACCAGTCTCTTAGGATGTGTAACTGTTCTTCCCCACTTTCTTGCCACTTTCTTTGTCTCTTCTTTCTTCTTGCATTGCTAAAATGACAGCAGGTATAATTAAAGGGCATTAAAAAGTGAACCCCCCCCCAAAAAAGTGAAACCCAAGCTGAGGCCCCATTCATTCCAGGTATCTCCCTGTGATACCTGCTAGATGGACATTACCACTGAATATGTTTTAGGGCAGAATAGCCCTTCCCAGCTTTTACTTGAGAGACTGAGCTATACTTAGTTCATCTCAGATGGCAGAAGTGACCACAGATCTTTATTAGTAGTGACAACAGTAATTAAAGCTACTAATTTTGGTGGCTTACCATGAGGGCTGACTATGTGCCAGACACTATGCTGAAAGTACTTAACTTAGAGTGTCTCAATTCTCAAAATCTTTTGAGATTGTATTATGTTAATTTAATTTTTTTTAAAGATTGATTTATTTCAGGGGCGCCTGGGTAGCTCAGTGGGTTGAGGCCTCTGCCTTTGGCTCAGGTCATGATCCCGGGGTGCTGGGATCGAGCCCCACATTGGGCTCTCTGCTCGGCAGGGAGCCTGCTTCTCCATCTCTCTCTCTCTGCCTACCTCTCTGCCTACTTGTGATCTCTGTCTGTCAAATGAATGAATAAAATCTTGAAAAAAAAAAGATTGATTGATTTCAGAGAGAGGGATAGCACATTCAAACATTGTGGAGGGGCAGAGGTGAACTCCCTGCTGAGCAGCATGGGGTGGGGGTGGGGGGCCCTTGGTCCCAGCACCCTGAAATCATGACTTGAGCCAAAAGCAAAAGTTGGACGCTTAGCCGACAGAGCCACCCAGGCGCCCCAGAATTCCTCCCTTTTCTGAATACTTAGCACGTTTTTGTACAGGAATTTATACTAAAGTTATTTATGAATACATTTATTTCTCACACTAGTCTGTGACCTTTGGATAGGAACTACATCTCTGATTTTTTTTCACTTTTTATTTTGAAATAATTAGTCTCATGAGAATTTGCAAAAATAGTACAAAAAGTTATGTGCCTTACCCAGCTTCTCCAAAAAGGGACATCTTCTGTCACCACAGTACAATATCAAAACCAGAAAGTTAATAGTACTATCAGTTAGTCTACAGGCCTTATTTTTTTAGTTTTTACCATGCATCTTTGATTTTTAAAATAATAATGTAATACTGTAGACAATAAAAATTACAGAGAAATACAAAGAAGAAAGGAAATCATAATGCCACTATCAGGCTGTAATTACTTTTAGCATATTGTTACAGATTTTTCTTTGTACCTCTGACTGAATATCTGTTTTTGTTTGTTTGCTTTAGACAGTGGAACTATGTAAAACTTATTTTATAACCTTTAGAAATCTGTACTTTTTAGTGGATTTAGAAACTGAATCATGGGAAGAATTAATATAAGGTAAAAATCCCAAGAGCATATGTGGTGTTAATCTTGATACCCTCAAAAGGGATGGGATCACTGAGGAACGTAAGTCAGTGTAGCTGGGATCAGCGCTTGAGCCAGGAAGGAGGAGGAAGTGTGATGCTCAGAGGTAGCCTCTCTGGAGAGGAGGGCAGGGCTGTCTGGCGGGTTGTTGGCTGGGAGACCACTGAGAGGCGACACCTGCTGGATAGATAGCCCCGCTGAAACTACACAGGCTGAATTCAAGAAATCTGAGCAAGTCATTGGAAACTGGATAATGTTAATGGGAAAAGAGAGTAATAGATCGTCAGTTCATCAGAACACTGACTCTTTATCTCATTTTCTGTCTCTAGGAGAGAAGCCTTTTCTGTGTGAAGCCCAAGGATGTGGCCGTTCCTTTGCTGAGTATTCTAGCCTGAGAAAACATTTGGTGGTTCACTCAGGTACTAGAACCCATCCCAGTCACAGATTTCAGGGAAGGTGGAGAACCATAAGGGTAAAAGGATGGTGGTGGGGGGTGGGAGTGGTGTAAAGAACCCTGGAAAGAAACAAGCTGTTCAACATAAAGTTTGCTCCTCATGACAGAATCAGAAGTCAAAGCTATTGATAATTGCATGGGAATGCAAAGCAGTTTAGTGGGAGTGAGGGAGTTAGAGAGGTATAAGCAAGCAGAGGTAGGAATTTCAGAGTTGAGCTCTTACCTGCTGACAAGTTCTAAGCAGAAGGCGACAAACTGATAACCTGTGGGTTAGATGGGGACTTCAGGTACATTTTGGTTGGTTTGCAGAGTGTTTTTATTTTATCTTACTTAATTTTATTATATAGGGCACCTGGGTGACTCAGTGGGTTAAGCCTCTGCCTTCAGCTCGGGTCATGATCTCAGGGTCCTGGGATTGAGTCCCGCTTTGGGTGAGCAGGGAGCCCGCTTCTCCCCTCCCTCTGCTGCTCCCCCTGCTTGTGCTGTCTCTCCTTCTCTCACTCTCTGTCTGTCAAATAAATAAATTCTTTAAAAAAAAATTTATTATATAAAATTGTGTCAAACATACATAAGAGAGAAAATAATGACATTTTCTTACATAACAATACTGTTATCATACCTTTTAGAATTAACAGTTCCTTAATTTTATCTCATACCCAGTCCATGTTTAGTTTTTTTTGCAATTGTCTCAAAAATGTCTTTTTTTTTAAGATTTTATTTATTTATTTGACAGAGACACAATGAGAGAGGGAACATAAGCAGTGGGAGTGGAAGAGGGAGAAGCAGGCTTCCCACTGAGCAGGGAGCCCAATGCGAGGCTCAATTCCAGGACCCCAGGATCATGACCCAAGCCGAAGGCAGACGCTTAATGACTGAGCCACCCAGGCGCCCCTCAAAAATGTCTTTTACAGTGGATTTATTTAAATCAGGATCCAATAAGTTTTAATTATTATACTTGGTTTAATTTTTACACTTAAGTCTTTAATCTAAATCTGTTTATACTCACTTTTTTTTTTCATGCCATAGACTTATTGCACCACAGAGTTAGCTGGGTTTTACGGAATGTCTCACATTCTGGATTGGTTGGTTTGCTTCGTTTTATGTTATTTAACTTGTTTCCCTAGATTTCCTATAGAAGAAAGTCAGCCCTAGAAGCTTCAAAGGTTCAAAGACTTGGCAAGGATGTGTTATAAATGGTTGTATGTGTTTCATTTTGTATCATCATATCAGGAGGCACACAGTGCTTGGTTGTCAGAATTTATCATGGGTTCAGATGGTAACACCTTGATCTTCACATTGTAAAGTTCCCTAGCACGTTTTGCCGTATCTATGAGTGATGCCTGAATTAGTTATTTCATTAGGATTGTAAAATGGTGGTTTTCTAATTCTCTCATTCTGTTCACATCAGCTGGAATTCTTCTGTGTATAATAGGTCTCTTCTCTATCCAGTAGGGCTGTTTGGTAATTTGCACAGGAAAGGCAGAAAAAAAATGTGTGATCCTTTTCTTTTTGTTTCTTTTAATTATGAGTCTTCAAAATAAGAAATTAGAGCTCTTGTTTCTTCTGGTAAATTCATGGGTTTCTGTGTAGTCATTGCATATAAATCCATTGTAGTTCTCTTTTAACAGCTTTTTTGGTGTATAATGCATATACCTTAAAATTCACCTATTGTAAACATACAGATCAGTGTTAGAAAATATGTAGAATTGTACAGTCATCACCACAGTCCAGTTTTCAAACACTTCTGTCACACCAGGACGTTCCTTTGTGCCCTCTGGTTGTCAGTTCCTGCTTCCACCCCCAGATTCAGGCAACCACTGGTGAGCTTTCTGTCTCTATAGATTTTCCTTTTCTGGAAATTTTCTGGCCATTTCACTTACTCTGGCCTCCTACTGATCTCCTATAGGCATGTGTTTCTGACCCCAGCTCTAATTGTGGTTGTCTGAGTAGGTGGAAAGACGACTGAGAGCTTTGGACTTGAGGGTACAGAGGATAGTTCAGATCACTGTGTAGAAGACCCACCAGAGGGCGCCTGGGTGGCTCAATGGGTTAAGGCCTCTGCCTTCGGCTCGGGTCATGATCCCAGGGTCCTGGGATCGAGCCCCACGTCGGGCTCTCTGCTCAGCAGGGAGCCTGCTTCCCTTCCTCTCTCTGCCTGCTTCTCTGCCTGCCTGTGATCTCTGTCTGTCAAATGGATAAATAAAATCTTTAAAAAAAAAAAAAAAAAAAGACCCACCAGTGTAAACACTGGTGACTGAGAGTGGTGGCAGGAAGTGGTGGGATAAGGGGGTGTTCTGGACCCAGGGTTGGGATCCTTGAGGATGGTACATGTTCCAGAGCTCCAGGGAATACTGTATCTGGAAAGGGAAGGAAATGCTCTGTGTGGCTGCCATGATCTGATACCAAAGAGGTGAAGGCAGCAGTATAGTAGGTCTGGAAAGAGTAGGAGTTGGGAGCAGTGGGCATGCTAAGCCCTCCTGGTGAACTCTTCCTGCCTTCCCTGGTGTATGAAGGTTCTGAGGCTGGGGACCTCCAAGGCTGGGTAGAGAATGGGAGAAGGAAAAGCCTCTTCTGTTTAGTTGAATGTTCTGTGAGCTTCTCTCTCCAGGTCTTGAGTCCATTCTCTTGCAGTCAGAAATGTACCCTGTTCTTTTGGCCATGCTGTTTTAACCTGCTCTGTTTCAGGAGAGAAGCCTCATCAGTGTCAAGTCTGTGGGAAGACCTTCTCTCAGAGTGGGAGTAGGAACGTGCACATGAGAAAGCATCACTTGCAGCTGGGAGCAGCTGGGAGTCAAGACCAGGAGCAAACCGGTGAGGAGAGAGAGTAGAGTGGAGGGCTGTATCTTCTGGGTTCAAAAAGCCAAATAACTGGCCTACCTGGTTATTTAGGAATTTTCAGATTCTGTGTTGGGGAAGAGACCTAGTCTCATTTGATGGACTAGTGGTTTCCAAGTATAGCTCTACAGTGAAATCTGTAAGCTTTCAAAATGTGCATGTTTGTATTGCCTGTCCACCCCTCATCCCCAAATAAAACAAAACAGTACAAACTGACAACTGAAATTATTGGGGAGTAAGATCCCCGAATCTGTAGTTTCCAAGTTTCCCTAGTGAATTTGACGGTAACTCTTGCTGATCCCTTAACCAGCACTTGAGTATAGTGATAAAGACTTCTTTATATATATAGAAGGGGAGGGTTTAAACATTTTCTATAGTCAGTCCTGACTCCCTTTTTACCCTAACTTAAATTTGATAACTCATTTTTATTATTTTTTTCCATGTCTCACACTGTGATCAATTATTTCATTCCAAATACTCCTTTCCAAGGATGGACCCATCCCATTTCGTATATTAATTCTCCACACGCTGCTCACAGGCAAAGATATTTATCTATGAGGCTCTGCCCTTCCCTTCTAGGGTTATTCTTACTCCCCAGAAGTAGATAGCATCCAAGATACAGGTTAAGTTCCAGTTCTGAAAGGAAAGGCCAGCTTCCTGTGAAGGCAAATGGGGACCAGGCACAGCCTCACCTGCTGCGTATCTCTCACATCCTGTTCTCTGTGCAGCTGAGCCACTAATGGGCAGTAGTTTGCTTGAAGAGGCTTCAAGAACCAGTAAAAACCTGGTGTCTATGAACTCCCAGCCCAGCCTTGGTGGAGAGTCCTTGAACCTACCAAATACCAATTCTATCCTAGGAGTTGATGATGGTAAGACTTTCAGCTCTCCTTTATTTGGGGAAAATGGGCTACAACTAGTGACTAAGGAATGGGGTTGTCTGCATAAGGGAGGTTTTAATTAATTTCATTTCTTGTGAGTAGCTGTGGTATGATTGTGTAGCATTTGTGTTCTTTGTCTCTGGGATGGATAAGTGAATCTGTTAAAAAATATATATATATTTTTGTTGTTGAACAGATGATGTAACAAAAGAATAAAGAGAAAAAAATTTTAAGAAGAAAATTATCCATAATCCTAGCATCTTAGCCCAATTATTTCTATCTTTCCTATTGCAGTTATGGAAGAACTTAACTTTTAAAACATTTAAACAGAACATAACCAGGTTTTACAGAGGAGATATAAAGCAATTTCTCCATACCTTCAAAAGCCATATCTTCTGGAGAAAAGAAAGGGCTGTCTAGGAAACAGTTGCTCCTCTCTGGTATAGAAATTTCACCCAAGTTACACAGGCCAGGCCCTCTTCTCTGAAAAACTTAACAGGTGAGGTCAGCATGCATTTATTCAGTGCCTACTGTGTGCCTGGCACCGTGGGAAAGACAAAAGTAGAAAACAGGGACTTTAAAATCCAGTTGAGAAGTCAAAACTTACATATGGGAGACAACATGGAGTAAATAGAAGATAGTATGTGAGTAAATGCTAAATTACGTGGTACTGTCTGGAAGAGCAGTATGTAATGAAAGCCCGGGAGAAGAAAGTTTTGATTTATTAGAGACCTAAGTGTATAAACTATTTCTAGAAGATTTTTACGGTGATTCCACTGGTGAAGTCCGAGATCCTGTGTTTTACTTACTCGTATCCCACTCAGTTTTGTGTATAAGTGACCATGTTTGTGTAAACTTCTGTGTGGAGCCTACAGGGCTCAGAATGTGCTTCCACAACACGCCTCCTTGGTTGCATAATAGGATCCTAGTGGACAGTTGAAGTATGTATGAGCCACAGTCGTGGCATGGAACTGCTTTGCCACTGTTAAGGAAGAAAGTCTTATGGGAGGAAGGGACACTGTATAAGAACTTTGAAGCCAGATTTAAGTTCCTAACTTCTGCACAGTATGCTGTTTATGTCGCTGCTGGCTGCTTTAAGCATTGGCTGAGGTCCCCGATCCTCCCGCTGCCACAGCTCTTTTGCCCCATTTCATGCACGGCTAATTGAGCTAACAGTGCCAAGGCCGTACTGCTCTGAATTGGTACTTTGAACACTGGTCAACTCTTGATATATATCTCAAGACTTCTTACCTTTTCTTCCCATCCCCCTTTTGTAATACTTTCCAGATTCACTGGTAATGATTATCCTCTTCAGATGGGAGCTAATTTGGAAGGAATACAGGAGTGTGGGTTTCAGGGAGCAGTTTGTAGTGTTCTTCATGAGAGGCTTGATAATGCAGGTAGGGTTATCTGTGGATTCACTCTCCACTGAAACATTTTCTGCTGTTTCAGAGGTGCTTGCTGAAGGATCCCCGCGTCCCCTGTCTTCAGTGCCTGATGTGACACATCACTTGGTGACCATGCAGTCAGGGAGGCAATCCTATGAGGTTTCTGTGTTAACTGCTGTAAATCCACAGGAGGTAAATCTCTCTCTTGCCTTTACTTTGTTTCTGTGGAGACTAATGTGGACAGTGGTTGGGAATCTAGTTTAGATGATCTGAATTACTCGTTTCCCTTTCCTGGAAACCTTGTCTAGAATATCTTCCTTTAAGCTAAGCATGAATCCAGCTTAACTTAAGCTTGATTGTTAGGGTCTTCTGCATTGGGAGATTGGTCACTCATGACTGGGTCTCAGCTTTGATTTCCTTCATATACATACCTTACTGAATGATAGCTGCTCCTGTGTTCTCTGCCTATAACATGAGGATACTGCTTTTATTTTATAAAGAAAATAGTGTCCTGGACAAAGTGGTCCTTGAGCAAAAAAGATAGTGACAGAATCACTGAAAGTAATCATTGTTCATTTTATTAGGGTCATATGTCTGGGAGATACCAAGCTGAACCAACTGGGCCTTCAGGAATGTGTTCACTTGCTTGTTGAATGAGAGCCATCATCTAAATCGGGGAAAGGTTTTAGGTTGACTCTAAGCATTCCCAACTCTATGGTCTTGGCTCTAACCCAGAAAACAGAATGAAAACCAGTCAGGCTTCTAGAATCTTAGGATATTTTATTGGCCTTTTGTTCTGAGAGTAGATGACTTCATCATGAGCTCATTGCGTATGCATGAACTTTTGCCAAAACCCATGTATCCTGGATCCCTTCGAATTACAGTAACTCTTACAGTGCCTTCCCGTCTTTTCCCTTGACCTTTTCATTATAACCTCATCCCACAAGATCAGCTGTTCCAGTGTTCTGATGACTGCATCCCATATGAAATATTCTGTATTATTCTGTAAGACTCCTGGGGATGCCCAAAATCACGGGGCTCTGGACATGCATGTTAATGATTTTGCCAGAACCTTTCCTTGTATTCATTCATCATTGTGTCCCATTGTCTGAGCCTTGCTTATATTATATTGAATTTTTTTTTTTTTTGCTATTGGTTTCATTGGTTCTTTGCTAAATCACCTTCTCCTCGCTACTGCTTTGGAACATATCTCACCTGTGAAGACTTCCTTTATTATTTTCCCTCTTCATTTATGTATTTTAAAATTTTTGTTATGAAAATTTTCAGGGACACCTGGGTGGCTCGGTTGGTTCAGCAGCTGCCTTTGGCTCAGGTCATGATCCCAGGGTCCTGGGATTGAGCCCTGCCTTGGGCTCCCCACTCAGTGGAGTAACCCCCAAGAGGGGGATCCCTCTCCCCCTGCTTGTTCTTTGTCTGTCAAATAAATAAATAAATATTAAAAAAAAAAGACTTTATTTATTTACTTGACAGACAGAGATCACAAGTAGGCAGAGAGGCAGGCAGAGAGAGAGAGGAGGAAGCAGGCTCCCTGCTGAGCAGAGAGCCTGATGTGGGGCTCGATCCCAGGACCCTGAGATCATGACCCGAGCCGAAGGCAGAGGCTTAACCCACAGTGCCCCAATTAAATAAAATCTTTTTTTTTTAAAGATTTATTTATTTATTTGACAGAAAGCGATCACAAGTAGGCAGAGAGGCAGGCAGAGAGAGGAGGAGGAAGCAGGCTCCCCGCTGAGTGGAGAGCCCGATGCGGGGCTCGATCCCAGGACCCTGAGATCATGACCGGAGCCGAAGGCAGAGGCTTTAACCCACTGAGCCACCTAGGCGCCCCTAAATAAAATCTTTTAAAAAAAAGTTTTCAGGGGTACCCCCACATTGGGCTCTCTGCTCAGCGGGGAACTGGCTTCCTCCTCTCTCTCTCTCTGCCTGCTTCTCTGCCTACTTGTGATCTCTGTCTGTCAAATAAATAAATAAATTATCTTTATAAAAATAAATTAATTAATTAATTAAATTAAATAGAAAATAAATAAATAAGATAAAAAACAAATAAATAGATTGTAGTGAGAGAAAGTATAGTATAATTAACTCATGTACCTATCTCCCCAACTTCAACAGTTAACTTTCTACTATTATTTATCTCTTCCCACCTACTTCTTGTTGGTGCTGTTCTGTTTGTGCTGGAGTATTTAAAAGCAAATCACAGATGTACCATTTCATTTGTAGATATTTCAGGACATACCGCTAACAGATAAGTATTTTTTCATAGCTATAATATCTTCATCATACCCAACAGAATTAACAGTCATTTATTGATATCCTTGAATTTTAGTCCGTGTTCCTTTTATTTTTTTCTCAAAATGTCTTTTAATGGTTGGTTGGTTTAAATTAGGATTCAAACAAGGTCCATTCACTCCATTTGGTTAATAATTCTCTTTATTTCTAACAGTCTTCCCCACCCCCACTCTCTATTTCCATTTTTTTCAGAATGACTTAACTATTTAATAAGAATTTCCCACATTCTGGTTTTGGCTGATTGACTCCTTTTGTTGTTTAATACATTTCTCTATCTATAGATATCCTCAAAACTGGTCGTGAGGAGCTTAGATTCATGTTTGGTTTTTTCCCCTCGGCAAGAACATGCTGTAGGTGCTGTTCTTGCTTTCTGTGACAGCTCACAGCAGACCCGATGTTTAGTTGTTCTCCTCTTACTGAGCTTAATGATTGACCAATGGGTTACATAAAAATTTTGGCAAACATTACTGATCATGGCTTAGATCAATTTTTTTATTAAGGCTCACAAAACGGCGATATCCTAATTCCCTTTTTCTTTCTGCTTTTTTGAATTGTGATTCTTCTGTAAAAGAAATATTTTAGAGAAAATACTCTTATCAACTATCAGATTTTTCTGAAATAGTTCAGAAAGATCATCTTTTTTACCTAGTGGAAATTATTATTCTGATACACCAATCCACAACACTCAAACTTTTCCTTTTCTATATTTGAAACCTTGGAGCTTTTCTCCCCTGTACTTTTATTTTTTATTTTTTTAAAGATTTTATTTATTTATTTGACAGACAGAGATCACAAGCAGGCAGAGAGGCAGGCAGAGAGAGAGGGAAGCAGGCTCCCTGCTGAGCAGAGAGCCCGATGCGGGGCTC